TCTCTCTCTCTCTCTCTCTCTCTCTCTCTCTCTCTCTCTCTCTCTCTGAAAAAGAGGGGGTACTGGTGTGGCATTATGATTGGCCAGTGGAGGAGAAAGGTAGCTGAGTTAGGGGTAAGGGTATACTTGGGTAGTGGACATGACAGAGCTCAGGTCCTTAGAGTAGTTTTTGTGTGTGTGAGATTCCTGACACCTTCATACGGAAACTGTTTCCCAGGGGCTAGATCTCAGAGAACACGTATGAAATCAGGACTTTGGGATATTGGTGATCTAACTAGTAAGACCAGGTAGGCCTACCTGGAACTCAGTAGACAGACAGCTGCAGTCAGTATGGAGTAGGGAGGAATCTTCAAATCTTCTTGCTGGAGGAAGTGTCGGTCCTGACTGCTAGGTCTCTTCAGTGCATTCTCTGGGAACACCAAGGACTCATTCTCAAGAAACATCCCTTGATTTTTTTTTCCCCTTCAAAGTATAAGATGAATGACTATACATCTTTACTTAGTCCCATTTTTCCCTGTGAAATGCACTTAGTTGGTCTGTTGTTTCTTTGTTAAAGAGACTCACACAGTGGGGATTTGAGAATGTAGCATCAAGGTCAACCTAGGAGTCTCCTTTAGTCTCTTGAGAAAAATGGTTTGCAATGCACACATATTATTCGTTCATAAAAGCCTCCTATTGGCCAAGATGCTTCTAATTCTAGCACTCAGGAGGCAGAAGCAGGAGGATCCTGTGAGTTCAGAGGCTAGCCTAGTCAGCAAAGCAAGTTTTAGGATAGCCAGAACTACATAGAGAGACCTGCTAAAACAAAACAAACCACCCAGACAAACAAATAAGCAACAACCCCCCATTCTGTTCTGCAAAGCTAGTGAAATTTAGAGAACAACACTGCATAAAGTTTTCCAACAAAAGAGACATTCAATATAGAGCAATTAAAAATGTTTTGAGATTATAATTACATTTTCCCTTTCCCTCACTTCCCTCTAAATATTCCCTACTTTCCTCTCCTTCAAATTCACAGCCTCTTTTTTCATGAATTGTCATTTGATACATAATATATATATATATATATATATATATATATATATATATATATATATATGCATACGCACACACACACAGCCATTCCCTGCCCTCCACCTCTGGCCAACAAGTGGTTTGCACAGAGTTACACACGTAGATGTGTGTAGACTTACACGCATGGATGCTTGGGTCCCAGTAGGATGAATTGGTTGTCATGGGGGCTCAGAACCAAGGAATCATCAAGCAGTCATCCAGTCTGAGGACAGGGCAATGTCACTGCAGTGAACCCTGGTGTCACGTGACTCCTTTCCTTTCCCTTTGCTCTCTCAGCCTCCTGTTCTACAGGAGTGCTGGGATGCCAGGCAGCAGCCTGCCTGTCCATCACCTCTCCCATGTCCCCCATTTTTGCAGTCGTCTCTCATTATTCCGATTTGAAGTTGAGTTGCCAACTTCTTCCTTCAGGTAAAGCTAACAGGGTGAGTAAGTACAGCTCTTACAAGTCAGGACTGTTGGACCTAGTTTGTCACCACAGGTCAGGAGGTCGTCCTTCCTGCCTTGGTACCTGCACCTCAGATGTCAGGCTGTAGCACTTGAACATTGTGGCATGACAGCTAGCCTAGCAGGGCTGGAGCACAGGCAGAGTCAGCAGGAATTGCTGCTTGAAGCTCCGGGACTGAGGGAGGCTGACTTTTCAGATGCTTCCTGGGATCTTCTTTTCAGTGCCCTCCTGCTCACTGTCCCTGAGTGTCTGAGGGTGAATGCTCACAATGGGAACCCCACTAGGGAGCTCTGGGAATTTTTGTGTAGATCCAGCTTCTCAAATTTCCCAGTGTTGCCCCATCCCCCACTCCTGGTAGGTCTGTGCCCTCTCTTCCATTCTGCCCACCCCAGCTCTGCTCCTCCCTCCTGGGTCTTGAGTGCAGAGCCCTCTGGAGACCCAAAGCTCCCAGGACAAAGGAAAGGGGATGAGGAGAGGATTTCCCTTTCTTTCAGATCTGCAGCTTGATTTTCCCCGTAGCTCTGGGCCCTCAGATCTAATGTTAATTTGTTAAGCCAAGGCCTTATAAATTACTTCTCATAATTGGCAGGGAACACTGGTAATTTGGGCACATATTGAGGTAAAAAATGTAGCTGTGTACCTTTTGTTTCCAGAAATTAATGATTTTTTTTGTTGTTGTTAAAGTACAGAAAACTGTCAGGAGGTAGGTGAATTTTGAACTGTAACCATACGTTCAGATCTGTCCTGTCTTGTTTACTGGCTGGGTGTTCTCGGGTATAGTACTTAAACTCTGAGCCGCCTGTAGTGTCTTTATCTGGCCATGAAAGGACAGTTTCAAAAATTAAATTGTCAGGATGGTCATAATCCAGTCAGTGAAGTGCTTGCCTCACAAGTGTGAAAACTTGAGTTTCATTTCTAGAAGCCAGGTTGAAAAACAGCCTTTGTGGTATGGGCTCGTAATTTCAGCACTGGGGAGGCAGAGACTGGAGAACCCTAGGGCTCATGGCCAGCCTGCCTAGAAGCCAGCCACCTACTAGGTGATTTTCAGGTCTATGAGAATCTATCTCAAAATACAAGGCCGATGGCTCCTGAGAAGAGACACCTAGAGTTGACTTTTAGCTTCCACATGTATCCATGCATGCGTGCCAACACGTGTTCACCCACACATACATGCATAACTGCTGAAGGGAAAAATAAGAGAAATTATTATTATAACATATTGAGCAGCATTCACCATGTCCATGGAATAACTGTAAATGAACCAGCAAACATAGTTAGATATTTGTCCTCCACCTCGTGTGGATGAGTGTAAAGCAAAAGGTCTTAGGCCTTTTAGACTTGGGTCTGTATGAGGAAACAGTAGCCATGGATGAAATAAACAAAAAACAAGAAGGGCACAGAATTTCAAAGTGTGTAAGGTGCAGTGGTGGGGAAGGTCTCAGACGTGAGGAAGAGAGCAGGGGGATGTTTGCCAGGAGAAAGGAGGCAGGAACACTTGGCCCCTTCTCAGCTGGAACCTGGTAGGACACCTTTGACCCCGAGGTGTTCTCCCAACCATACATGTCTGCTTCTCCTGAGATTTATTTTGTGAATGATTTTCATTTTCTGGGCTTGTTTTCTTTCTGTCCAGACTATTCCAGGAGTGAATTCAATTTTATACTGAATCTAAAATAAGAAGGAATTCTGTGGCTTCAGCAAAGGCTCGGTCCCATAGAAGTCTGTTGGTTTCTGGGGGCTCTGGCTCTCTTCTCATGCTTTGTTTATTGTCTCCAATTTCGTTGCTCTAAACTGCAGGGCACTGGACGAATGGAGACATACCCACCTGACCTTGCATGAGCAAGGGAGGTGTAAGAAGCACCATGGTGGAATGACAATCACCCACGCTGTTTATCTCCTGTCTGTGCTGATAGATGACGGTGATGGGGTGGCACGATCAATGTCCTCTCCTAAGCCAGAGGGATAGGTACAAACTGGCCCTATTATTTATTCCAGTTGGAGCCATAGAGTCCTTAAAAGTCATCCTCTTTATTTTTATTTATTTTAAATGGTTATTAGCTTTTATGGTTGTGGGTGTTTTGTCTGCATGTGTCTATATATTGAATGCATGCAGTGCCCACGGAGGCCAGAAGAGGGCATCAGATTCCCAAGAACTGGAGTTAAGAGATGGTTGTTAGCCACTACGTTTGTGCTGGGATTGAAATCAGGTCCTCTGGAAGAGCAGCCAATGTTCTTAATGCCTGAGCCACCTCTCCAGCCTGTGCTTTGTAAATCTTAAAGCAGTCTGACCATGCCATCCCATCTTCAGAAACCTCTGCTGATTCTGGTCCCTTGGAATAATCTCACCTAGAAATTCAGAAGCACCCCACCCCACCTCACTCCCCTGTCTCTCTCCAAGTCCACACACTCATTGCTTTGTCCCACGACAACCTTCACCTGGTGAACACGTCCACGTGCATTCTCCTCCAGAACATTCTCCACATGTCTCTTTGCCTGTTAAATTCTTCTATCCTTGCCTGTTTGTTCAAGAAATGAGTTGTGTTTCTAATTCTTGACCCCAGTGGAGGCTGCCTTTGACCTCAGCTCCAGCATCTGGAGCAATCTGTTCTTGCAGAATTTAAGGTGACAAGTCATATATTATTGTGGAATGTTTTAATATTTTATTTTTTCATGGTAAAAATTTGTAACAACTTTGGAAAATCTTCTAGGGAATGGTATGGTGATGTCTATTCTTACGGAAGGATTCCAAAGCTGTACAATAATGTTTCCCTTCCAGTTCAGGTGGCTCTGTGGGTCTAGGGACTCTCTGATGTTTGTTTGTCTTGTTTTTGTTTTCCCCCTACAAATCTCCCTGGATGATTCTGAGAGCAGCCAAAGATGGGGCTCCATCCTGTTTGGATTTTTTCATGATGTCATTGTTTCTTTGATTTGTGTATTAGCAACAATTGTTGACAATTAGCAAACCAACTCTGGCTAGGTAAAAAGAAAGAAGGAAGGAAGGAAGGGAGGAAGGGAAGGAGAGAGAGGAGGAAGGGGTGGGGATAGAAGCTGTGTAGTAGCATTGTGTAGTTTCTCAGGAAACAAGCATCTCCTCTGATGTACACATTTTCAACAGTGTCCAAGTGTTTTGTTCATAGAGTTGCATACTCGTTTCTTCATCATTGGTACAACTGAGGTATAAAGATCCTTCAGAACTGTGTTGTCAGAGTTTCACCTGATTTTGAGATGAAATGCTGGTTTTTACAATCAGTATTCATGAGTTATGAATGTTGGTAAATCTTTGTTCTGAGACAGACACTTGGTCAAGATTTAGATTTGTTGCTGTTGCTGTTTGTTTTTAGAGTATGTTGTCTCTGACTGTGTGGTATTTTATCTTGGGTTTTTGCATCTGTGTCTCAAGTGAGATAAACCTATTGGTTTTGCTTTCTCTGCCCAGTCGTGTATAAGCCTCGGATTTCTGACACCTTCACATCTTTGGAATGAGTAGAACCACTCTCAGAGACACTGAAAGACGCTATAATTTCTCTAAATTTCTTCTTCTCTCTCACCTGAACCCTTTCTCTTTCTGAGTTTAGATATCCCACCTTCATGGGTTTGGTTTTTCTACAAATAAGCCAATAATATTGCTAAAAATTTTCATGTCCTTTAAATTAACCAGAGACTTTGGGAAAAAATCAATCATCAGTACTTACGTTATTTTCTTATTGTGATAAAATACTTGGGAAAAAATCATCTTAAAGAAGGAAGGGTTTACTTTGGCTCCTGGTCTGAGAAGGCACAGTCCATCCTAACAGAGGGTATGGCTGAGTTCTTGTGTCGATGTGTAGCTATGACCTCAGTGAAGTGAGGCCAGGCTTTATACCTTGGCAGGTCAAAAGACAGAGCACTTAGCTGCGGACACTCAAATCTGGCTAGCCTAGAATTGATGGCTTCTAAAATCCTCGTAACAATATCTGTCTTGTCAAGCAGGAGACTTTAATTTTCAATCAAGTCCCATTAATCTTAAAAATGTATCGTGCTTTCGGTGCTGAAGCTGGGGTATCTAGTTTACATGATGTGAGTTTCTTAGGATTTTCTTAATATGTTTTACAGTTCCTATAAATATAATTTAGGGAGCTTTTCAATTGTCCCCTTTTTTCTCCCAGATGAATGATGGAGACCTAGTATATTTATTAATGAACTTCTTGCACTATAGCTGGGCAGATACTCATCTATTCTAACCCATTTAATACAACTAGGCTGCCTACAGCCATGTGCCCCATTGCTTGCCAACTCTTGCCCTGGCTGTTCCTGCTCTGTCAGTGTCCCCATGATGACTCCCCTGGTGACCTGCTCATTGCCAATGTCTTATGGCAACTTTTCTCTCTCACTTGAGCCCCTCTCTTTCTCTTTCTGGATGCAGAAGTCCCACCTTCTCTCCTGCCCAGCTAATGGCTGAATTAGCCCTTTATTGACCAATCAGAAAAAAAAATACGGAGTCAAGAAATGCTTCATAATAATGAAAATAACAAAATCCAGACTGTACCCAGATCTCAGGGTACAGAAATCAGTGTCTGAATACACAGTGAGCAAAACCATCCCCTAACAAGTTCCAGGTTTTCCATTTAAGTCTGATGTGGTTTGGTTTTGAGTCAGCTGTTATACTTATTTCAAGACTTAGAATAGGAATGTCTAGCTGTCTACTGTAATGAAAAACTGCCCCTCCCTGTTGTACCTTTGTTGAAAGTCAATTGAGCATGTGTGTGGGGGTGTCAGCTGAGTATTTCCCACTGCCTTAAGTGTTTGTCTTAGCAGTGATACAGTAGCAAAGCCTTTGTATCTTTATTAGATCTTTTAAAACCAAGAAGTTGATTCCACTTCCTTCCTTCTCAAAGCTGTTTAGTGATTCTACAACTTTTGCTGTTCAGGTAAATTTTAGGACTATCATGTGGATGTCTACATTAAAATCTTGCTGGAAGTTTTGTTGTTGAAGGGTTGGTTGATTTGTTTGTTTCTGTTTTTTTAATCTTTCTGAGACAGGATCTGTTTATACTCTTGTAACTACACCTAGAGGCAAGCATCTGGGCATTGTCTAGATGAAAGTGAGCCTCTAAGAATGTTTGAGGGGTCGTTCTGAATTTGTTTTTTATTTCTCTCTCTGTGTCTGTCTCTCTGCCTCCCCTTCCCTCTCTCCCTCCCACCCTCCCTCCTTCCCTCTCCCTCCTTCCCTCCCCCCTCCCCTCCCTCCCTCCCCCTTCCCCCCTCTCTGTCTCTCTGTCTCTGTCTCTGTCTCTGTCTCTCTCTCTCTCTCTCTCTCTCTCTCTCTCTCTCTCTCTCTCTGTGTGTGTGTGTGTGTGTGTGTGTGTGTGTGTGTACATGTGTATGGGTACCTGTGGAAGCCAGAAGAAGGCAATAGCTCTCCTGAAGCTGGAGTTATATGTGTTTGTGAGCTGCCTGCCCAGTGTGAGTTCAGGGAACTGAGCTTGGTCCTCTGCCAGAGAAACAAGCACTCTTAACCAATGGGCTACCTCCTCTGTCTTGAGATTGTCTCGATTATGTTCATTGTTATGGAAGATCGGAGCCGGGCGGTGGTGGCGCACGCCTTTAATCCCAGCACTTGGGAGGCAGAGGCAGGCAGATTTCTGAGTTCGAGGCCAGCCTGGTCTACAGAGTGAGTTCCAGGACAGCCAGGGCTACACAGAGAAACCCTGTCTCGAAAAACAAACAACAAACAAACAAACAAACAAACAAACAAAAAGATATAGAAGATCTATTTTCTTACTGTGGGTGGGGTCATTCCTTTGGCAGCAGATCCTGGACTGTATAAAATGGAGACAAGCTAGGTACTAGCATGCATTTGTTCATGCATGACTCTCTGCTGTTGACTGTGGATGTGATAGGACCAGTTGCTTCAGTTTCCTGCCCCTTCTCAGAGAAGGGCTGTAACCTGTCATGGTGAGCCGTAAAACCCCTTCCGCTTTTAAGCTGCTTTTGTCAGGGTGTTTATCACAGCGACAGAAAAGCAGACCACAGGTCTTTATTTCACAACCCAGGCAAGCCTGCAGGCAGTTCACTGTGCAGGTCAAGTCTCCAATGTGCAGCAGACCTCCTGGCTCTGCTACTGCAGGTGTGCACCAGCTCGCCTACTTTGCAAATGTTCTGAGCTTTTGATCAGTAGTGTTTTCACATTAAAGAGAACTTACATCTTGATGGTGTGTGCGTGTGTGTGTGTGTGTGTGTGTGTGTGTGATATGAATGTGTGTAGTATACCCATTAGCCATCTCTCTCTAATGATTTGTATATTGTATGATTTCTACCCAGTGTTCTTTACTTTTTTATCATATAAATGTTGACTGTACTTTGTTAGATTCTAGACTTATGCACTGTATGTTTTCAGTATAATTTTAAAATATAACTTTTAGTAAAATCTTATTTTCAAATTGGTTATTGCTATTACTTATAATTACAGGAATTTATTTTAACAGAATTTTAAAGATTTAAAGTTTGGCAAATATATATCTATATCTATCTCTATATCTATGTCTATGTATATATATATATTTCAGGGATCTAATAGAACTGGTACCTAATTACAGTTAACTGACAAATAAAAATGTTTAATTTGCTTAGTCTTAAAGCCTAAGATATGGAATCAAGATTGAGCTTTCACTTACTTTTCTGCCTCTAAAGTTCTGGGCGTTCTTTTTTGAGTTGATTTGTTTGTTTGTTTGGTTAGTTGGTTTTTGGTAATTGATCTCAAATTATGTGATTGACACCCCCCCCCAACCTCTCTTTCTCCTTTTTTCTCTTTTGGTTTTCAAGACAGGGTTTTTCTGTGTAGCTCTGGCTGTCCTGGAACTCACTCTGTAGACCAGGCTGGCCTCAAACTCGCAGAAATCCTCCTTCCTTTCTGCCTTCCGAGTGCTGAGATTAAAGGTGTGTACCAGCACTGCCAGGCTATGTGACATTTAAGTCTATTAGCTAGTACTTTATTTGTAAATTCTAAGAGATTTTCATTATAGATAATGTCATCTTTGATAAAGACAATTTTATTTCTTCTAATCCTGTTACTTGACTTTCATTGATTGGTTTTATGTGTTAGAATCTGCAGTCTTACGTTGCGCAGAAGTGATGGAAACACACATCACTGCCTTATTTTTCATCCCTGGGGCCAGGCATTTAGTCTTATGTAATTTTTTACTGTGCTAGAGGTGGGACTTTTGTTCATGCCCTTTATAAGGTTGAGGAAGTTTGATTCTTTTCCTATATTGTTAAGAATCATTTTTAAAAATCATAAATGAATATTTTTTCAAGTACTTTTTTTTGAGTCTGTTGAGAATGTCATACATTGCTTTTCTTTATTCTGTGAGTTGGCCAAGCTTTCTGAAAAGGACCAGTGTGATCTTGTGATATTTAAGAAATATGTATTCTGCTTTTACCTCCAGTTTCTGGTAGATCAAACCTACAGATTTCCTGAAGGGTGGGTGTTAGCGCAGTGTCTGTAGTAGTTCTTCAAAAGAAGTTCCAACTGTACTTCCTCCTTTACATAGATTCAGGCTGGGGGCAGGCTGTCAGCCGAACCAATTATATAATTAAAAGTTTGCTCCCCGAACCTCAGAAAGGAGAGAAACACTAATGGTTTAGTTAATCACCAATGGCAAAGGGGATATTTTAATCAATCATTTTGTGTAATGGAGCCTCATAAAAGCTTCTAGATCATGGGCCGTGAACTACGTCTGGCTTGACAGATCCTGACATGGTTGTGTGTGTGCCTGGAGAAGCATGCAGGCTCCCAGGCTGCTTCTCACATAGCTGTCAAGTGTCTCTAAGCCACATTGTATCCTTTATAATAAACCTGCAAATGTCAGTAAACAGCGTTCCTGAATTCTTAGAGCAGTGTAACGACTTAATGAGCCTGAGGAGGAAGTATGTTTTGTTTTGCTCTTTAATAGCTGACCAGTCAGAATTACGGCAGGCCCTGGACTTGACTGGCATCTGACCATGGAGAGTGAATCTGTGAGCTGAGGCAGCAGCCTCAGGTAAATGGGATTAGATCTGAACTGAGGGGCAGGATCCCCAGCTGGTGTCTGGAGTCTCAGAGTCTTGGATGGTGTGAGGACAATTCCCTGCTCCCCTGCTTTTAGTGCCAGTGTGTTGTGAGAGTGAAGAACAAGTCATTGTAAATATAAATAGACAGTAAACATTGTAGGCTTTGGGGCCTGTAGGGTTCCGGCACAACTCCTTACTCAAGCCCTGCAGAACTCTTCTATTCAGTGACTCAGTGTGTCCTCTATTGTGAGAAGACAACCAGAGACAATAAATACACAATCGAGTAGAGTTGTGTTCAGTAATTCTCACTTTAAAAATGGGCTTCAGGTTAGATTTGGCCTTTTTAAGTCACCCTTTGCCCAGCCTTGAGTCCTGCCTTTGTTGGTATGCCTGAACCTTAGTTGACTTGCCAATGTCAGAACCAGCCTTGTGTTCTGGGGATGAACTTCGCTTGGTCACAGTGTGTTAGTATTTTTATGTGCTAGATTCAGCTCGCCACCATTTGGTTGAGGGTGCTTTTTGTGTCTATACTTGGGAAGTATATCGGTCTGGCTTTCTTGTGATATCCCTGCCTGATTTCAGTGGCAGGGTAAACCAGGTTGAGTACTGTTCTCTCCCAATTTCTGAAAGGGTGTGTACAAGATTGTTCTTATTCCTAAAGTTTTGGGTAGGATTTGCTGGGGATGTTTTTAACTTTTGGTGGGATAGTTCTAACAAATTTAAAAAGTAAACACAGGACTATTATCCTGTTTTACTATTCCGGTTATCTGTTCATTCTCCAGCAGCTTCCAGCAGTTGATGCCCTCTGAGCAATTTGTCTGTCTTATCTAGGGTAGAATCCTGTGTGCACTTACTCTCCTTTTAATGCCTTTAGGAGTCACACCGACACCCCATCCTTCATCCTGGTATTGTGGTCTGTATGTTCTTTTCTGTCTCCATTAACCTGGTCGAAGCCATCTTTTCTTTCGGTTCTTTGAAAGACTCAGCTGTTGCTTTCATTGCTTTCTCCTGTGCTGTTCTGTGTAATTCCTTGGTTCCTTCTGTTGTTTCTTCTGCTTTGTAGTTGCTCTGTCTTTTCTCTGTGTTAAAGCAGCTGCTGAGACCACTGATCTGACACCTTCTTTTCTGGTGCTTGTGAGGTTTTCCTTTCTGGGTCAGTAGGGATGGGCAGCAGGTCACAGAGGTGTGCAAGTAGTTTCCTACCTGTAGACACATTTAATGGAAGTTTTAGTGACGACCTTTAGTGATGACCACCCAGGGATTCCATGTTCTGCCTTGGGTGCGGTCAGAGGGAGGAAGGTGACAGTGGCTGTTTTCCCTTCTGTCCTCAAAGGTGGAGCTTCCGTGTCCTTGCTCCAACATGGTCTATAGAAAGTGGAAGAGGGAGCTGGAGCTGCATTTTGGGTGACTAAAGGATTCTCTCTTGATTTTGGGGACACCTGCATGGCAGCATAATTTATCTTGATTGTTTTCATCTGCCGAGCCAGGTAAATGAGCCCTGGAGACGAACATCACTGTGTTTGGAACATTCTGGTGTGTTCCTTAGCTCGTGAGCTGCTCAGCACAGGGCCACGACAGTGCCACCTCGTGTCTCTCATCAGCCGAGCGTCTGTGACTGGGGGGAACTGCATGCTCATGTGTAGTCTTTTTGCCTCAAAGTCTTTGCAAACGTTGAGACCTGCAGGAAATGGGGGTTGTTGAAAGAGCTGGACTCTGCAGCTCCAGACAGAGCTTTCCATTTTGGAAGCAGCGCTCAAGTTTTGTCTGTGGGTCCTGCCCTCTAATTATGTTCCCTTTTCACTGAGGGGTGTGGTTAGACCGTGAACATACACACCGGCTTCCCAGCACCAGCCTCATGCTGGCTTTCTGAGAGAGTTTCATTGGACCCTTTCCAGGTCCCTTTAACACAAGGGTGTGTTGTGTGTGAGAGAGAAGGCAGAACATGGGAGCTAGGCCTGTTTGGCCTCTGAGTGACCCTCATGCTTATACCGTCTAGCTCACTGGTGGAAGGGAGGATGGGGTTGATAGGATGAGTGTCCGGGGCTGCAAGTGAGGTGGGTCAGCAGGTAAGAAACACACGCTGCTGAAACCTGATGACCTGATGACCTGAAACCTGATGACCTGAGCATAGTCCCTGGAACCCATGGTGTCATCCTCAAAGTTGTCCTCTGATATACATACATACATACATACATACACACATACAGAGAGAGAGAGAGAGAGAGAGAGAGAGAGAGAGAGAGAGAGAGAGAGAGAGACCCTATTTTAAAAGGGAAGGGCTGAGGCTACTAAATCCAGTTCAACAACTTACTGGGTGAGCGACCCTGGGCATATAATTTAACAACTCTGAATTCCAGTTCAGTCATCTATAAAAGAAAGAGGCCAGCAGCTTCCCAGCTTTGTTATCGGGTTTGCTTTAACCTCTGACCTGGGCTGGGGGAGGGGCAGGGAGTGATAGACAAGGGTCTACAGAAATCCACAAACAAATTGAAAACCTGCAGGAGAAAGCCATCAGAACCATGTTATAGCTTGGACCAGTGTTTCACCTTTCTTATTTCTGGCTACAAGGCCAAGCGTTTGCCTCACCAAAGGCCAGAAACAGTGGGGCCAACCAGTCACGGACTGGAAACTTTGAAACTGTGAGTCACAGTTGTACAGTTGATTATGTTTGTTATCGTGAAGGAGATCGACTAATTCAACCAGGACGTGGAAATATAAGATGGTTACTTTCTCTCACACGAATAGAATGTGGACATACAAGATGATTGCTTTCCTTCTCCTTGAGTGTTTCTGGGCTGAAGGGTGACAGGCATGACTCAGGGCTAGGTTT